TCCCAGCTACTTGGGAGGCTGAGGCAGGAGACTCGCTTGAGCCCAGGAGTTGGAGGTTGCTGTGAGCTATGATGCCATAGCACTTTACCCAGGGGGATAGCTTGAGGCTCTGTCTCAAAAAAAAAAGAAAAATCACAGTCCCTGTTACACTATCAACAGGATTAGTTTGGCTGCTCTGATCAGACAAAATATGGCTCCCAAATCTGTGAGATCTCTAAGCCTCTCAGCTTTCCACATATCTGTATGTGTATATATGGGTAAACATACGCTTAATGATCAATTAACATTTATTAATAATAAAAGCTAACATAATCTTACCCTTTGTTATTAAAATTCTAGTGCTTGCTATTAAAAACAATCAGTGCATATATGTGAGGTAGATAGTAACTGTCCACTCTTTCTGTAGTACTTATAACAAGCATTATGTGTTTTCCAAATGTCAATTCAGTTTATCCTCACATTCCTATGGCCGAGTATACTTTCATTATCATCTCTATTTTGCTGGTAAGAAAACTGGGTCGGGTGCCATGCCTCATGTCTGTAAACCTAGCACTCCAGGAGGCCAAGGCAGGTGGAGTGCCTAAGCTCTGGATTTCCAGACCAGCCTGAGTAAGAGCAAGACCTTGTCTCTAAAAACAACAGCTGGGCACTGTGATGAGCATCCGTAGTCCCAGCTACTCAGGAAGCTGAGATAAGAGGATTGCTTGAACTCAAGAGTTGGAGGTTGCTATGAACTATGATAATATGGCACTAAAATCAGGACAACAGAGTGAGACTTGCAAGAAAGCACAGAAAAGAAGGGAGGGAGGACGGGAGGGAGACTGAGTCACAGAGGAGCAGAGCAACTTACCAAAGAGCCAGAATTGAACCTTAGTCTGGCTACTAGTCCATATGCTCAGCCACTGAGCTACTACCTCTTCATAGACTACAGAAGTATTTACTTCTCTGCTGTGGACCAGCAGAGAATTTTGGTTTCTGGGTTTTTTTTGAGACAGGGTCTATTTAGCTATGTTGCCCAGGCTAGAGTACGGTGGTGTTATCATAGCTCACTACAACCTCCAACACCTAGGATCAACCAAATCTTACCTCAGTCTACTGAGATCTGGGACTACAGGCACATCCCATCATATCTGGTTTTTTTTTTTTTTTTTTTTGAGACAGTCTAACTTTGTTGCCCTCAGTAGAGAACTGTAGCATCAAAGTTTGCAGCACCCTCAAACTCTTGGGCTCAAGCGATTCTCTTGCCTCAGCTTCCCAAGTAGCTGGCACTACTGGTGCCCACCACAACACTAGACTAATTTTTGGAGATGGGGCCTGACTCTGGCTCAGGCAGGTCTCAAAAACAACTGAGCTCAAGCAATCTGCCCACTTCAGCCTCCCAGAGTGCTAGAATTACAGGTGTGAGCCACTCTTGCCCAGTTGGCTTATTTTGTTGTTTTAATCTTTTCATAGAGATAGGAGTCTTGCTATGTTGCCTAGGGTGGTCTCGAACTCCTGGCCTCAAGCAATTCTCTTGTCTTGGCCTTCCAAAATTGAGAGATTAAAGGCATAAGCTACTCTACCCTGTCTGATTTTAAAGTCTCCACTATATGAACGGTTTAAAAAAAAAATCCAAAACTATGAAATAAAAATTTTATAGCCTTAAATTTATATTTTTTATTTATTTTATTTTTTGAGACAGAGTCTTACTATGTCAACCTTGGTAGAGTGCCATGGCATCACAGCTCACAGCAACCTCAAACTCTTGGGCATAAGCAATTCTCTTGCCTCAGCCTCCCAAGTAGCTGGGACTAGGTGCCCACCACAATGCCTGGCTATTTTTTTGCTGTAGCTGTTACTGTTGTTTAGCAGCCCATGCTGGGTTTGTACCTGCCAGTCCTGGTGTATGTGGCTGGTGCCCTAACCACTGAGCTATGGGCACAGTGCCCATAGCCTTAAATTTAAACTGAGAGCGTTAATATAAACACACGATATATTTTATCATTAAATAAATAAGAATAAAAAAATCCAGATTCAACACAGCCTTTTCTACTGAAATGGCCTAAAAACAATGAACCCATTATAGCAACACGTAACCTTATGTAGAGTCTGTTTTCCAAACACTTTCTCCCTCCAATAAAAGGAACTCAGACTTCTCAAATAAATGTACATCATGAGCCCAGAGTATCTTGTCATGAGAAATCAGGAAAGTTATTAGAGACTCTAGGGTTATATCAAAAAGACTCAAACAACCCAAATAGGCTCCTCCTGGCCAAAGTGAAAGACTACATTCCTCCTAACAGAGACACAAAAGTATCGCCTATGCAATAGTTTTAGGAAAACAAACAAAAAACCAAACAACCTGATTCCATTCAGGCCTTTAGATCTAACTACCAATTTATAGGACATATAGAGAACACCTTAAACATGTCAAATATTACCATGGGAAAGCTACCAGCAAAATTGCGGCTGCAGGAAACTAACCCTACAGGATAGTCACAGAACCACATTTCTCCAATAAAAGCATTTCAAGAACGAGGGGATATGTTAGATGGACCTATTGAAAGAAACAAACCCCAAAACAAGGGAAGTGAGAATTCCACGTTCAACCTTCCATAATCTAGATACAAGGTGTCCTTTCTACACTATATGCTGCCTAGTACATGGCTATGAAAACTGACAGGTGCTTAAAACTCATATCTCGTTAACAACATGCCCATTTCTCCTTGGATATCTGTTCATCACTCACCGCTCTTCCATGAGTTCCCGAATAGAGGCTACCGTGGGGCCAGATCCCAAGTGAGTATAATATGGACCTTCATCTTTCTCCACTATTTGTTCTGCAGAAACATAGAGTAAACATTATTTGAAGGTATCAATTAGTAAACGTTAATTTAGAAAGGCAAACCACCAACAGGAAAATTAATAGGCAGTTACTAAACAGGAAACCCACATTGCTTATAAACATGTGAAATGTGTTCAACCTCCTTAAAAATCAGGAACACAAACTGAAATCATAATGAAACACTATTATACAAAGATCAAGTTGACAAAAAATTTAAAATCTGATAAACCTAAGTGTTGTCAAGACCGTGATCTAACCTCACAGATCTGGAATTCCGCTTACTATTATCCAGTAAAACTAAACAGCTGCATCCTGCATGACCCAGCAATTCCATTTTTAGATATATATACTCTAGGTCTGGAGTCAGCAAGCTACTCTACTCCTAGCTAAATAAGCCTCCCAAAGATCTGAAAACAGAGACTCAAATAGATACCTATGCCACAATGTTCATACCTGCATTTACTCACCCCAAACTAAAGGTGAAAATATAGGTGTCTATCAATAGACGACTGTATATATCCGTATGATGAAAACTTACTTAGCCGTTAAAAAAGGAATAAAGTTCTGACACAGGCTAATACGTGGAGAACCTTGAAAATATCATGCTAAGTGAAATAAGCCAGACACAAAAGGACAAATACTATATGATTCCACTGATTATGAAATACCTAGAAGAGAAACTTGTAGAGACAGACAGTAGATATCAGGGGCTGACTGGACCGGGAAATCATTGAGTTCTTGTTTAACAAGTAGAGCGTTTCTGTTTAGTTTGATGAATGTTTTGGAAATAGTAGGTGACAAGTGCACAACATTGTGAATGTAATTAATGGACCAACTGCACATGTAAATATGATTTAAATGACAAATTTTATGTTGTATATATTTAATGACAATTTTAAAAAAGGATATAAAGTAGTAATAAATGCTACGATGTGGATGAACCTTGAAAACATTATGTGAAGGTAAAGATGCCAGATACAAAAATGTCATATGTTGTAGGATTCCATTCATATAAAATATCCAGAATAGGTATTCATAAAAATATCCAGAAAGCAGATTGGTGGTTGCCAGAGACTAGGGGTAGGAAGAAGGTATGGGGGGAGGGAGGAATGAAGAGTAATTGCTTAATGGGTAAATGCAGGGTTTTATTTTGGAGTGATTAAAGGGTTTTGGAACTTTGCATAACATTGTCAATGTATTCAATGCTACTGAATCGTTCACTTTAAAATGATTCATTCTGGCTGGGCATGATGGTTCACCTAAGCTAAGGTGACTGATGTCCCACTTTCAGTGGGACAGTCCCAATTTTTAACAATTTGTCACGCGTCCTGCAGCATTTTAAAAAAGTCCCGATTTTTGTAAAGAATGTACAACATGTTAGATAATTGCCTCAGAAAGCCCCTCCTCCAAAAAGCCCCTTCCTGCCCTTAAAGTTACAACTCCTCCGCTAACACAGGGAGTGGCCTGCTTACCACTGCGTGCTAGTGCTAGTTAAACAAGTGATGTCAACAAATGAGCTATTCGGATAATTTAGGTAAGTAATTTATTTATTTATTTCATGAATTTAGCAGACAGTACTCGTATTATTTATATTTTGTAGTGGCAGCAAAAAGTCTAGTGTTGGCCTTGAAAGTGACACTTACGACTTATGAGGTATCATTATTAAAAAAAATATATTGATAAGGAAAAGGTTAAATCTTGGGCATCACCAAAAATCACAATAGAGAACAAATGGTTAGAAATACTTCATCATGGCTCGGCGCCTGTGGCTCAAGCGGCTAAGACGCCAGCCACATACACCTAAGGTGGTGGGTTCGAATCCCCAGCCTGGGCCCACCAAACAACATTGATGGCTGCAACCAAAAAAAATGGCCGGGCATTGTGGCGGGCACCTGTAGTCCCAGCTACTTGGGAGGCTGAGGCAGGAGACTCGCTTGAGCCCAGGAGTTGGAGGTTGCTGTGAGCTGTGATGCCATGGCACTCTACCCAGGGGGATAGCTTGAGGCTCTGTCTCAAAAAAAAAAAAAAAAGAAAAGAAAAAGAAATACTTCATGATTTTGAAACAAACCATGTTTCATACAATAATGCACTAAAAATTGTGGAATACACGCTGTCCTTACCAGGAACTAATGCTGCGACATAATGCGTTTTTTTTTCTACGGTAAATAAAGTGTGGACATCAGAAAAATCACAACTAAGTGTTGAGACTTTGAAAGCCATTTTATGTGTGAAATATAATTTAACAAATTCTTGTGAAAAATTTCATGACCTTTTAAATGACAGCAATCTACTAAAAAAATTCACTAATGAGAAATATGCCAAAGAAAATAATACTATACATAATTTTTAATGTATATTTGTAAATTGTACTTATGTTGAAATTAAAAAAAAAGTACAATACTATTTTTGCATTCTATGAAAATTTTTGTTGCTCCATATAGACCAAATTTTTAATTAAGAACTCCCTCCCCCACCCCCTCAACCCCCCACCCCCCAGTCAATGGTGTCCTGCTCTACCAATGTTAAAATCTAGTCACCTTAACCTAAGCTCATGAGTTTGAGGCCAGTCTGAGCAAAAGTGAGATCCTGTCTCTACTAATAGAAAACTAGCTGGGCATTGTGGTGGGTATCTATAGTCCAAGCTATTCAGGAGACTGAAGCAAGAGGATTGCTTGAGCCCAAAAATTTGAAGTTGCTGTTAGCTGTGATACCATGGGACTCAACCCAAGGCAACAGAGTGAGATGGTCTCAAACAAAAAAACAAACAAACAAACAAAAAGACTAATTCTGTTATGTAAAGTTCATTCTGATTTTTAAAATGCAAACAAGCCATTCATTTCAGAGATGAATTTTAAATGAGTTTTCCTAAGTCAAAGAAATCAGACCCATAAGGCTATGTAAAAGTAACTTTGGAAAACAATGTTTTGACTGGATATGATCAGGCTAAACAGCAAAACAGAATAGGTATACTGTACTATAGATGGTAAGCCTGCTTCAAGTCTAAGAAGACATGACAATTAAGTATAATGCAGAATTCTACATTGGGTCCAATTACAGAAGAAAGACTATCAGTGAGAAAACAGATAAAATCCCAAAAGTCCAGCCAGTCACACTGGCTCACACCTGTAATCCTAGCACTCTGGGGGCGGCACCTGTGGCTCAGTGGGTAGGGCGCTGGCCCCATATACCGAGGGTGGCAGGTTCAAACCCGGCCCTGGCCAAACTGCAACAAAAAAATAGCCAGACATTGTAGCGGGTGCCTCTGGTCCCAGCTACTCAGAGGGCTGAGGCAAGAAAATTGCCTAAGCCCAGGAGTTGGAGGTTGCTGCGGGCTGTGACGCCA